AGAGCGCAATGATCACAATACCAACATGGGCCAGTGAAGTGACATCCTCCACAACTAGACTGAAGAACAAAAGGACAGCAACTTGTCTGTTCCCCTTCCCGATTCCCCAATGCTGTTACCCTCTCCCAATGCCCCAATAGAACCTTTTTTAAAAAAAAAAGCATCATGACTTTTCTGACAACCCAATATATTAAATGAATATGAATCTATGAAATGCGAGGCCTGACAATTAAGTTCACGAACTTGTTTCAATGATGTTGCTAACCTTTTTTGATATCAGAGGGATTATTTGTGATGAATTTGTACCAACTGGATAAACAGTTCACCAAGTTTACTATTTGGAAGTGCTGAAAAGGCTGCGTGAACTTTTCGCACACAATTCATGGCTCTTGCATTATGACAATGCACCAGCTCACACGGTACTGTCTGTGAAGGAGTTTTTAGCCAGGAAACAAATAACTCTATTGGAACACCCTCCCTACTCACCTGATCTGGCCCCCAATGACTTCTTTCTTTACCCGAAGATAAAGGAAATATTGAAAGGAAGACATTTTGATGACATTCAGGACATTAGGGTAATACAACAACAGCTCTGATGGCCATTCCAGAAAGAGTTCCAAAATTTCTTTGAAGGGTGGACTAGGTGCTGGCATCAGTGCATAGCTTCCCAAGGGGAGGGCTTCGAAGGTGATCGTAGTGATATACAGCAATGAGGTATGTAGCACTTTTTCTAGGATGAGATCGTGAACTTGATTATGCGACCTCATAGGCAAATCCTAGTCCACTCTCCAAGGAAGTACCAACCTCAGCCACTAGAGGGGAATCTCAGTCACACGCCTATAAGTGAAACTAAGCTATAGCATGAGGGTGGCAGGCATCCCTCCGGATACACCAGCCTTTCCTAAACCAGGAAACTCACTCCCACTCAGGAAACCTGGCTGCATGCTGAACTCCATGGTGTTTTCTCTGAGTCACTGTATTCTCCAGCAGTTGCAAAATGATCTGGCAAAAGGCTTTGACTGCTTACTGAGCACCATCGTAAACTCCTCGCCAGACTCCAAGGCCTTCCCCACCCTGGCCCCAACCTACCTGTCTCTCCAGCCTGAACTCCCCTCAATCCTGGATACTGCAGCCACACTGGACAAATCAGGGCTTCTGCTGCGCCTTCTTCTTGGTGCCTTTCCTCTATACCCACCTTCTGAAACCCTATTTCCTTTTTAACATCGCAAATGTCACGTCCTCCATGACTCCCTCCTCACTGCTCTAGAAAAAGCGATCTCACCCATCCCTGAGCTCCGACGCCGTATATTACATCATCTACCGGGTATGAAATTGATGTATGTATGTGCATCATTTCTTTTCAATAGATTAGAAACTCCAGTGGGGAATCTGCCCAGGGTACTCCAGCGACTGAGAGACAAAGACGGGATTCTAACTTGGGCAACCTGCCTCCGAAAGCGCTTGCTCCTAACCACTAATTCACACTAGTAATCTTTCATCAGCCACAATGCCTAGAGCAGAGCTTTGCACAACAGTGCCTTATCAAATGCATAATTTAACAAAAAAAAAATCCATCTAATTAGCACCTCTTGAAACTTCCCTGACTTTGGAGTGTCTGACGTAGATCTGATAATGAGCCATTTCAGAATCATAATGACTGTTCCACTTTGTCTCTCGATCTATATAATGCATAGGAGGACATACTCCCAGCTTCTAAGGGAGAAAAAAAAAAAGTGCTTACTTACTGGAGCCTAGGAAATGTTTTTTTCTGAAGCTTCCAGCTCACATCTTCACTGTGGTAAGGGGGACGGGCTGGATGGTCTTTGAGGGCCCTCGCTTCAGTTTTTGCAGTCTATGATTCTGGAGACAATGGGCTTAAAAACAGCCTCTGCCTCTGTGTCAGAAGATATCATTTTGAGTCTCAGCTCTCCAATGCTCAGAATCCCCACCTGTAAAACTTGATTCAACCATTCAAACATTTTTCAGAGTGCAAGGGCCAGGGGCTGTACAGGAACGAACAAGACAGACCTGGCCCCTGCTCCTCCAGCTAAGGAAAATCAGAAGACACC